ATAAAGATGGCCGGGGGTACTAGTTCTTAATAATAAAATGATAATAAAAACTCAAAATTGGGAGGAACTGTATGTTAATGAGAAGTTTACTTTTTATTTTGTTTAATATCTCTATTATTATCGTATTTATGGTTGCCTGGTTAGTGCATGTATCTATTTAAATGAAACGTGCACGAAAAGATATAACGCAACATATAATTTAACTAGAAATGGTACCCATATAAATACCTAGGTACTTACACAGATTGCGCCTACCTATTCTTGTGTAGCATACTAATGGCAGTTTCTTTTATGAAACTAGCCTGCTTGGATTGCAGATGCAATCAGAAGAAAAATGCACTACCTATTGCATGACACTGTTAATAAAAGACTTAAATAATAATAACAATTTACATTTCACGTACTACTTACTTACAGTCGTTACAAATGAGTACACATAATTATCAATTTTTTAAATTAAAATTGTTTGTTTAATATGATAACACTTAATAAAATTCAACGAACCTTCCAATAATTTCTCGAGCGCTTTATTACCTCTAAATTATTTTACATATTTTATTATTTGATCCCGCACTCGATAAGCGTTGGTACCTTCAGATTCTACGTATTCTTTTGCACAATTACTACTTTTCAAAGCTTCTTAAATACCTTCCAATTTACAGTGATTTCACGAGCGCCTTTTTGTGATCGAATTATCTTATATATTTTGGTAATTATAATGCCGCACAATATCTATTTGACACCGCACTCGGAAACCGTTGGTACTATGAAATTCTACGTACTTTTTTACATAACAGTCACTTCTTAAAGCTTAGTAATTATCTTACATCTTCCCACAATTTCACGAGCGCTTTTTTATGTTTAAATTGTTTTACATAGTTTAGCAAAATAAGTCCAGAAAGTATCTATTTTATACCGCATTCGAAAACCGTTTGTACTATGAGATTCTACGCACTTTTTTACATAACAGTCACTTCTTAAAGCTTAGCAAGTACCTTTCATCTCCCAACAATTTCACGAGCGCTTTTTTATGTTTAAATTGTTTTACATAGTTTAGCAAAATAAGTCCACAAAGTGTCTATTTTACACTGCATTCGAAAACCGCTGGTACCATGAGATTCTACGTAATTTTTTACATAATAGTCGCTTCTTAAAGCTTAGTAAGTATCTTTCATCTCTCAATAATTTCACGAGCGCTTTTTATGTTTAAATTGTTTCATACAGTTCAGCAGAATAAGTCCAGAAAGTATCTATTTTACACCGCACTCGAAAACCGCTGGTACCATGAGATTCTACGTATATTTTTACTTTATAGTCATTTCTTAAAGCATAATAAATACTTTCCATCTTCTAAAAATTTCACAAGCGCTTTTTTATGTCCGGACGTACTGTCTCTTTAATTAAAATAACTTCCGATTTCTTTTGATATAATTATACAATATTTTCTGATTTCCGGTTCTTTTTCAATCATACTTCGTACATATACTTACATAATGTATATTATTTTTGGTTAAACCATTTTACGTTAACCAGAAAGCTAATTAATAATATTATAAATGACGATAGTTGCTATTAAATATTTTTGAGCATTGTAGTCAGCGTTAGCATCAGATCTGGGACACCAGAATATGTATGAGAGAGAGAATGTATTTCTTGGTGTAGTTACTTTCGATACAATAATTACACCTTTACTTTCTTGACTATTAGCTTTTCCGTAAAAATTAAAGTGTAACAGCCGCAATTAAATTACAGTAGAGAATTAAGGAAAGTTTAGATTAGTTTGTATGCAATTAGACAAATAATACACTGGTATCTTTGCAACACTTTCTTTTTAAGAAAATTGGACTTGATGGTAATTCCTACTTTTAATTAAATAAAATCAAAATGGAAAATTTGTGTGAATTATAAAGACTTGAAATCATAAATTTTGATGGCAAAATTACGTTGTGGAATGGTGTTAAAACAATTATTATGTTATAGTGTCCTGAAAATTACAATAATTATCTATTAATAACAAATATATGTTAATTTTAGAGAGAAAATGAAATTAAAAGAGTTGAAAGCCTTTGAAACTTTGAATATCATTCTTTTTGTATATAATGTTGAGGTTGACACGCCGCTTATTTTCTTTCAAATCACTTTTTGGTTAATTACTAATGCGTAACATTATACCTACCAATTATTTTAGAAAGAGAAATTTGTTTCAAAATGTAGGCAGCAGTAAATCGTCTAAAGAAGATTCACTTTCTAAATTGGAGAGCAAGAAAGATCATTTATTACTGGCACCGGTACTATCTGTTANAATGATTCCTTTAAATTTTAATCATTGATTACTATACATCTATTAAAAAACCATAATGGCCGACATCAGTGACAATGCGACAACAATTGAAAAAGAATGATGGCCGACAACAGCAACAATTAGAAAATAATGATGGCCGACATCGGTAACAATGCGACAACAATTGAAAAAGAATGATGGCCGACAACAGCAACAATTAGAAAAGAATGATGGCCGACAACAGCAACAATTAGAAAAATGATGGCCGACACTACATCATAGTGAAGCAATAAAGATGGCCGGGGGTACTAGTTCTTAATAATAAAATGATAATAAAAACTCAAAATTGGGAGGAACTGTATGTTAATGAGAAGTTTACTTTTTATTTTGTTTAATATCTCTATTATTATCGTATTTATGGTTGCCTGGTTAGTGCATGTATCTATTTAAATGAAACGTGCACGAAAAGATATAACGCAACATATAATTTAACTAGAAATGGTACCCATATAAATACCTAGGTACTTACACAGATTGCGCCTACCTATTCTTGTGTAGCATACTAATGGCAGTTTCTTTTATGAAACTAGCCTGCTTGGATTGCAGATGCAATCAGAAGAAAAATGCACTACCTATTGCATGACACTGTTAATAAAAGACTTAAATAATAATAACAATTTACATTTCACGTACTACTTACTTACAGTCGTTACAAATGAGTACACATAATTATCAATTTTTTAAATTAAAATTGTTTGTTTAATATGATAACACTTAATAAAATTCAACGAACCTTCCAATAATTTCTCGAGCGCTTTATTACCTCTAAATTATTTTACATATTTTATTATTTGATCCCGCACTCGATAAGCGTTGGTACCTTCAGATTCTACGTATTCTTTTGCACAATTACTACTTTTCAAAGCTTCTTAAATACCTTCCAATTTACAGTGATTTCACGAGCGCCTTTTTGTGATCGAATTATCTTATATATTTTGGTAATTATAATGCCGCACAATATCTATTTGACACCGCACTCGGAAACCGTTGGTACTATGAAATTCTACGTACTTTTTTACATAACAGTCACTTCTTAAAGCTTAGTAATTATCTTACATCTTCCCACAATTTCACGAGCGCTTTTTTATGTTTGAATTATTNTCTCAGGGTGCATCCATAATTGTAATAAAGGGAAGAATAAATAAACTACACAACTATATATGTATTTTAATTGTTTTGATTAACCTCGTATTCTGTAGGGTAAAATCCACAGGCTCTCATTAAATCTGGGATTTCTGATATCGAAATGTAGTCGCTAACTTGTCTCGGTAACAGTGTATTAGCCCCCTGATGAAGAATTTGCATGTAATAGAACAAGTCTTCCATTTCTTTGTATAGCCACCCTTCCTTGCCACCCTCTATCAAGCAGTAAAACGGCTGAAGTTCGTCACCGCCCATTTTTTCCAAATAATCTACACCACTACCACAAAAACAGGTAACGACTCAATTAAATACTTTTTTACCACGAAAACAATAACAAACTGTATTTATTTTGGAAAATGGTAAACAAAAAATCGGTAACATTAACTCACATCGAGTGTATTTCCCATCTCAATATCGTTCTGTCATTTTCGCCTATTGTAAAAAGATATTTTCCATCTGTACTTTGTACAAAAGTTCGTAGCTAAAAAGTGACAGGAAATTTGCAGTTTTATTAGGTAATATACAAGTACTTATATTTTTTACTGTCAAACCTTTTTCGGGTGCCCTGTAATCCCTATATACCTGTAAGGATTCCCATCGTAAGGTAATTTAATGAGACCTATCCTCGTACTGTTCATAAAAATTAGATAATTTTCGTCGCTTTTCAAAATCTACAAACCAAAATGTTTTTTTTTTATTCAATTAAAATTGTTTTCTGATGATGGTAAAATTAAGTTTGTATTAGTACTTGGTTTTTTTATTTGATCTTACCTCTGTTTTCGTAACAATGGACTCATCGAAACAACCGTAGGTAGGCCCTAAAGACACCGACCTACACATTAATGTTTGATCGTTAATTGTTCTAAATTTGAACTGAAATTGTTACATTAATTAAACACTGTTACTAATTAAAAACAATAGGGAGAAAGAACATAGAAAGATAAGTACTCGACTAAGAGAACCTTCCTTTGATCTCATTTTGCAATTTCCTATTTACAGAAGATATTTGTTAAAAAGAGTACTCCGTAAAGTTATATAAAATGTAGGAAATTGTCTGCTAACAGTTCTTTATCTTAAGAAGTTAGCAACAATTTAAATTACACAATGATTTATCTATTTATGCCGATCATAGATTGAAACAGAGTTTTTGCTTCTAGAATCTGTTTTTTTGTGGTTCAAAATCACTGAAATATGTAAATTAGCTTTGAAAAAATTAAAAGTGTTTATTATGTATTATTGAGAAACATTTGCATTTACGTAAATTACATAGGTATTTAAAACTTATTGGGGCAGCAGTAAATCGTCTAAAGAAGATTCACTTTCTAAATTAGAGAGCAAGAAAGATCATTTATTACTGGCACCGGTACTATCTGTTACCTACCTGTCTGATCAGTATCAGAAAACCTACACTTACTAATTTATATATCTTAATACTTATACTTTTCTTTGAAAAATAACGTATACGTTATTTAAATCACAAAACAAAAAGATGTGATGCACAATATTTTGTACGAAAAAAAACTATAAGTTAAAATCTATTATCGACTCTGTTTTAGTATGCATCTGATTTATAGTCGAAAAAGTAGGTGGACGCTTAAAAATTTTTATTTCAAATTAATTCATAAGTACATTTCGACATGTTAATTTGTACACGTCCTTGAATGGTCCATTTAAAGTTCGTATTTGTACGTGTGAAATCAAAACAATGAATGAATTTTCTCAAAGAGAAAAATTAACACGTTGGTTGCAAAAAATTAGCCTCTTGCTGCAAGTACATTTTTATTACATCACTGTTATAAACTTCGTTAATATTACTACGCATAACGTCCTATATTCATATGTGGTACTTGAGCTCTTGAGCAGAAACGTAGCCATTGTGAATATCAATGAGAGCCATTTGTTGCTGATATTGCTGTGACACTTTTAAACAAATATTCAAAACAAAAAAGAAACGTGCGCGACAATGATCCGTTATTTAACATGTAACTTTTTGAAACTGTTACGGACTAATTGGTGTGTGAAACAAGCAATAAATAATGAATTACCGATAATAACTAATAACTATTTGGGTTAAGGTAACGGTTCTTCGGCATTAAACCTTATATAGGTAATTATGGTAGGTAACACGTACGGTATTGTGTCCCGTTTGCTAGCCTATTTGGTAAAGGGTTGAGATTTTAAAATAAATAATCGCAGAGGTTAAATAGTAAAAGGTTCGAACCTCGCAGTAGACAGAAAAAAAAATCTGCTTAATGTGCTCAATCTTCAGCATATAATAATAGAGTGATATTATGAAACCTTTGAAAGTACATACAATGAGAGTAACTAGGGAGAATAACTACTACCCTTATGTGCACCTTAGGTAGGAATAGGGTGTTTTCACCCTATTAAACCCTTAAATATGATATGTACAATACTCATTCTAACCGCCTTCTTATTAACCAATATCTAAAACAGTGCCATTACAAGGATGGCATTACAATTTACGCAAGCAAATTAATTATGTAATTGTTTATTTACTATTTAGAATAGTTAAACTGTGCCGCAATTGGAGACAAACATAGGTATTCAAATTCTATTTCTAGATGTCATTTAATATTCTTTCAAAGAAAAGAAAAATGCTACCACAACGCATCCGTTGGCCTTCTAGAATATAGGAACCACAAGTATTTATTGTAATTACTATTACAATGGTGGGAGCAGGATTATTGTTATTAGGAACAATCAACGTTTTAATTTAGATAATGAAGGTCTCATTTAATCGTTTTATTACGGCTTACGACAGTAGCAAATCGTCACCCAATAAAAAATTACTTAACACCTTCTGTTTTTATTGTTCTGTCTAATTTAATTGATAAACCTATCTAGAATTTACTAGTAAAATAGTTTCAATTTGTTTAATTTTGACATAATCACTGGTTTTTTATTTTGTTATTGCGATACATTGTGTATAGCTGTTGGAAAATCTTTAGCAACTGCCTGATTTTATAATAAATAATTTTCTTCTTTTTTTATTGCAATATCCGTATCTACATGGCGTAACTAAACTGCTTCCAACATATGTATTTACAAGTAATTGGAATTCCAGAATTTGTTAACGTTGTAAAGGCTTATTTACAATTACGTCCTAGTTTCTATTTATATGAATAATTTAGAGCCTTATATTCATACATAAAGTTTATATAGTTAGTACGTTGATTTGCTCTGATTCTCATGGCTTTCTTTAGGTGTTTAAACCAACTAAACGACATTACATGCAACACAACCTGGATTCAAAACCTCTTATCGACAAACTACTTAAAATTGTACATATTTTGTATAATAACAGATTAATAATTTTCTTCGAATTAATTTTATCTTAATTAGTTCCAGAAATCGCCTGAAAATGTAACAGGGGGGCAACGAGGATCGTCTAAGGGTCGAAATGGTAATGATGATGAACTTCCAGAACATGTACAAAGAATATTGAGGATGCTTAGTGATTATGAAGCACACAGGCAACAGAATGAGATGTTTCTGTTTGCACAGGTATTCTTAGATATTTAGGGAGAAAAAACCCTACATTACAACCCTTAATTTTATAGACTCAGCCAAAGTCTAGGCCCCCTCAAGTAAAATATGCAGTAGGTATGATAATGCAACACTTGTCTTTGACTTATATTTGCGTGATTTATGACTGGGACCCCATTTGTAAAGCATCCCCCGAATGGCAGAACGATATGGGGGTGCACAAGCTAAGATATAAAGATGAACAGCCATTTTATAATGTTTTAGCTCAAGATGGGACCCGGAGATATGTTGCTCAAGGTACCTATCTTTTGTACATTCTTCAATTTCTTTCTTTTTTTATATTTGTTATTATTTGGCTATTTGTGGGGATAGAATAAAAAAAGAAAAAAATTCTTTTTTTAGAAAATTTGTTCCCCACGCAAAATCCCTCTACTTTGCACTCTAATCCGAATATAGGGAAATATTTTTCCCATTTTTTTGGAAACATGTTCATTCCTAATCATGAGAAGGAGAAAGAGTATCCTTTAGATAGAGATATCCGACTCCGATTTAACGCCAAATTCCAATTCCAAAAGGTACCATTTCCATGACTAAAATAGACCCATTTTATTTCTAGGTTTATATGTGGTTGGTATTGTAAATAGCATAAATATATCTGTTAAAATTAAAGTCTGAAAGATTATTAAAATGTACAACTATGTATATAATATAGTTATCAATAAGTAAAATNTAGGTATTTAAAACTTATTGGATATTTGTAATGCGTATTTACTATTGTTTACTGCAATACTTATTGATTTCCTTTATGTTTTCTATCGCTTTTGGATTAAAAGAGTTATTAAATACGAGAATAATTAATTAAGCTCAAAACTTAACCGCTTAATCCAGAGGTCATTTCACCATAATTAGTTTGATAAGCCTCAGGTGTCAAAACTTAATTAGCAGATACCTATTTTACGATAGATAGATATAGTTTATAAGAGATAATAGCTTAAAAAAAAACATAAAAATTGATACTTAAACAAAAGTAAAAAGAGCGAATTAACTTAAACAATGACGGTTAGGAAATAACGAAATGCAGGCAATTAATATTGACCGATAACAAACATTAGTTCTTTCGTATTAAACCTTATAATTACGATAATAAGTAAAACATTGTGTCTCCCATGGTGGCCTATTAGGTTGAGGGTTGAAATTCTAAAATAAATCGTCATGGAGATGGTAGGATCGAATCTAACAGCGGGAAGAATAAAAAAGAATGCCGAAAAACTGTTTGATCTTTACAAGTTAGTTAATAAAGCACCTGGGAAACATTGTAAAACTGGGAATATTACGATAATTACCTACTCAAGGGAAGAGTCTATTACCTACTCCTTAAAAAAAAAAAAGAATGATCAAGTGTACGACCTTCAGATCGTTAAACAGACATATGTAAATTTCGTTTAATTTGTCTATTAATGGAATTACTTACCTGATTCTGTATCAAAATCTACAACCCCGTATAGATCTTCTGTTTCCCTGTCTTTCCTTCCAGGTATCCTTTTAATAAACCTGTTGTCATTTCCGTATTTGAATACGTTGTTTCTTTCGGAGAACAAAGGTTCGCTCAACGATTTTCTAACCCTGCTCCTGACCGGTATGGGCGGAGGAGATTTGTCAGCCGTGGAATCCCCGAAACTGCTTTCTTCAGAACTGCCATCAGAAGAACCCAAATATTGTTTGATATAAGCGTAATTTTCTAGATCCCATGGGTCGACGTAACTCTTTGAAAAGGTGCTTAAAGGTTCCTCGTATTCGTATTCGGAGGGGTTCCAGTAAATGTTATCAAAAGGCATCTGTAACAATGATTTTCTGGGTTTTACTGTCTATTACCATTAATTTTATTTTTATTGTTGAACTTTCATTTTCATTTCCAAAGACATTGTCTAAAATATACCTAGATATTTATTTCTTTAAGTTATTGCTTTCTATCATTTACATTTCTGATGGCAATTAAATTCAAAACTAATTGCAATTAGCATATCTATTCGTAGTTTATCAAGTTGTCTAGCAGCTAATATTTATACGAACACACCTTTTGTACTATGTTTCTGCATATAGAAAGTTTTTCTTGTTAGAGGACACTTTCTTTTACGGGATGACCTTATGTTCATTATAAACGATTTGTTATTCATTATTTGTTATTGTAGTAAGCCGCGAGTTATTAAACACAAAAAGTACCTATATGTAATTTATTATTTAATGAGATTGACGATAAGTGTGTTTCAAATTTCCCGAATAAAATAACGTAAATACTTAAATTATGTGAAAGTAAAAGTTACAATAACTTAGTATAATTTGAATAATTGGTTTAATGACTTTAGAATGAAATTGCCATTTACAAATACTTTACTATATATGTATTTAGAAGCTATTGAAAATGTTTTAGAATTCCAACTGTATGAACAATTTAGGTATTCCAGTTATTGTGGGTTTTTTAAGTTATTTTGGAAATAAAAGCTGATCAATGGTTATAATGATGTGTATTTAGTTCGTTTCTTAACTTTTACTCGTTATTATCATTATATAATCAGAATGATATTTATTTGGCTGCAAATCTAGATCAATATTTTAATATATATACTTTTTAAATTGGGTGTATCACATTTATCCAGGTCATTGAATATCGATATTCTGATATTTAAATAGCAAATATGTGTTTTTTGGACATTATCTATATATTTCACACCTGAATTGGACGAATTTTCCAATTATAACAGAAAGAATAAAAACTATCATTTAGAATCACTTTTAAAACTTATAATATTAATAGTTAAGGTAAATGTAATTAACTATTAAAATAATTTGTTTTTCTTTTTACTTGTAGTGTAGAGAATTCAATTTTTTGGTACTTTTTACAATTTTGTAGATGTTGAACCCTATAAAGCAGGTCGATGTACCTACTTCTATTTTGGTATCCAATCTTCGTTTTCAATCACTGTTAATGGACATTATTATTTAACTTTTTTGTTTGACACAGTGTATACAGATCTTAGATAGATATAAATGACTGTAGTCAATAGAACCATTTAATTGAAAATTAAAATCATTTTTCTCTAAAATGGGTACTTGTCAAAGATTACTAAATATTTTAGGAAAGCTGCCAAAAGTAGTCGTAAATTTTCAAAAAATAAAGTCATTAAATAACTAGAAATGTAACGTTCATAATTATAGAGTAAGTTGTATCAAATTCAATTGGATAGAGGCAGAGATATAAGCTGAGGATGAGAAATAACTACTTTTTTTTTTTTGAAAAGTGCAACAGTTTCAAGATCTAATTTTAAATGAAAAATAATTTTATTATGTTTTATTGTAATGCTAATTAAAATATTTTACGTTCTTTTAAATCTAAGTTCAAAAGAATGTAAAAACTACCGGCAGTTTTTCTAATTTTTAATAATAATAATGACAGTGTATTTCTTACGTATTTTCTTACCTTTTTGAAAAGAAAAGTTCAGTCAAAAAGATGAGGATCCTTTAAAATAATAAACACTTTTGGTTTTATAATTGTGTATGTTTCTCGCGGATTATAAATTGCAGTACAATTATTACAAACAATCAAACTTGTTGCACTAATTGATAGAGAGTATTTTAATTTACTAGTACAAGTTATTCTGTAGCTTCATACACCAAAACGTTCACTTTCTACAACGATTTAACAACACTGACAACAAACATCAACAAGTTGATAGAGGCATTGTGTTTTACCATGACCATGCGCGTATTATTTCTGTGTTGACTATCTTTAATACTAACTATGATAACTAATGAACGTCTTGCTAAACGGTTTACCTAATGTAATGTAAAAGTAAGCAGCTAATCGTGTGGTTTATCAAGTAAGCAAGAAAGAAAATCGGTGAAAGTACAGTCTACAACGATCTTTTTGTGTACCTCGCAGCACCTTCAATTTTCTTTTGAGGTCGTCACTAAAGAAGAAAAACATCGACAACAACGATTAAAATAAAAAGAAAACAAAGGTGAAAATTATCTTGTAGGTACCTAATATTTGTCAAAACTTACCACTGGTTTTTTAATGATTTTGCTAGATTTTTACACAATATTAGAAATTTTTCTGGATCCACCCCATTACCAAGGGATTGCAATAAGTAAATAGATTAATAGATAGGTACATGTAACATAAAATCTTGATGGGCAGTATATAACACGAAAATATATTTTTAAACGAAGTACTTAAGCAGGGTCGGACAGGGACAGTTTTTTTTTAACTTCTAAATGTGGTGTTGTCACTTCATTGTATAAAATTACTATTATAAAAGTAAAGTTTTAATACTTTTGTTTTCAAGCAGTGAGGTTGTCCTAACAAATTTAGTCTAAATCCACCCCTGTAACTGGCTCCACTGATTTATTTTTATAATGAAAAATGACTTCTTTGAAATGTGTTTTTTGCTTGAAAAAGTTTATAAAATGGAACAATTTTTGAATTTTACTAGCCTTATTGGAAACTAGAGAGTTTCACCCACTAAAACATACTTCAAGCCCATCTCTGTAAGTTTTGTTGGTGTTTATTGATATATATTTTGAAAATTTGCATTTTAAAGTTTTGCTAGATTTTTGCACAATATTGGGGATTTTTCGGGATCTACCCCATTATTAGCGGACTGCAATTAAAAAAAATGTGCTTCATAGGGGTGAAAAAAGAGAGGCGCGGATAGTTGCGAGAAAAAGCCAAAATCCTTAACTAACAGGATCGTACAGAAAAGAATAAAAAAATAAAATGGAAAAAAATTTAGAGGGTGGCTATTTCGGGTTTAGAACAAATAGGGAGTTTTCTAACTTAAAACACATTAAAGAATAAGAGGAAACTCCCATAATACAATGTAAAGTTTTTGTATATTTGAACGTTACAGTTTACAACTGTTTGTATGACAATGTTTCAGTAATTATGAATAAATTTAATATAAATTAATAAACCGTCAGATTATGTCTTCGTCTGCTTGATTTTTAGAAACCTTTGCTTCTTCAACGTTGGTTCTGTTCATATCAATTCCTAGCATGTCATTCAGGAAGAAATCAAAGTCAATTTCCTTAAAAAGTAATACAAAAACGTCAAGTATTAGAATGTTAGGTATAGTTGATACGATCAAAATTGGCATAGACCGCAATAAAACTGTCACATTTACTTTCTTCTTTCAACTTACCAACTAGACTAGAGCGGTTGCTGACAGAACGCCTACTTAAACTTACGACGGACGTTGTATGGAATATCGTAAATAGAAAAGAGATGCCAGGTAGGAACTGCAGCGGTTACTAATAAAGGAAAAGGAATAACACCAATTTATGTGTAAAAGAAAATTTGAACATGTTGCCAGCTGACTTCAAAGAAAGTTCAAAATTCTCAGAAATTTAGTAAAGCAAAGACACTTGTTTAAAGATATAATTCCAACCAAGCAGTTATAAAGCCGACCTTGACTTCTTGCGAACTTACGCAAGTTCTAACTGCTGTACCGTATACTATTATTCGGTTATCTCTTTTTAATTTGTTTGTACTACTCATGAAGCATTTCCTAACTTAAGAAGCGCGTGTTCAAAACTCAGCAAATGACTACAGGCCCAAGTGGAAACAAGAAAGAAGATACGTCCATTCTCTCAAATAATTTAGTGCGGAATTTGCCAATTTTGTTCGTCACAACTATAACTGTTTCTTGGCTGGCGCATTTATACACATTTTATAAACATTTGAACTTTGTACCTCTGGAAGAAAGAAGAACTCTTGCTTATAGTCCTGATTGCCATCGAAGTGAAGTAATACCGAAAGACATTTTGATAGTTTCGGTTTTGTAAATGCCTCACCTGTTTTTATAAATAAAGAAAAATAATTTGTTTTTCACATTGTGCATTAAGGATCTTAATATTTCTTTACCTATTTCACACATGCCTTCAATAAATGCTTCCCTTGTAAGGGGTTCATCAATTTCTTCCTCTTCTTTGAAAGTATTGTAAGCTGACTTCAAGGCATCTACAGAAATTCCATGCACAGGTCTGTGATTTATATACAATTTAACGAATTCCAAAAAGGATGCTTGATCTCGAATTTCACCAGTTTCGTTAAAATCGCGGTACCGTATATCTACTATCATATCTTCTATCTAAAAGACATATTAAAATTATCAAAAATAAAGCACACCATTAGATTCTCTGGGAAATTTAAGGACATTTTTTATTTTACAGTTTTCCGATACGATGTGTAGTTATCTAGTAAACTGCAATTGAAAATTAAAACGGTTAGCCAATTATGTCACACATTGTTTGCTGCAAACAGATGCAGCCCAATAGGAAGAAACAAATGATGTGTGGGGCTACGCCCACTTGCAGCACCGAGAGCGTTTTTGATCAGAAGNCTCCCATAATATAATTTAAAGTTTTTGTATATTTGAACGTTACAGTTTACAACTGTTTGTATGACAATGTTTCAGTAATTATGAATAAATTTAATATAAATTAATAAACCGTCAGATTATGTCTTCGTCTGCTTGATTTTTAGAAACCTTTGCTTCTTCAACGTTGGTTCTGTTCATATCAATTCCTAGCATGTCATTCAGGAAGAAATCAAAGTCAATTTCCTTAAAAAGTAATACAAAAACGTCAAGTATTAAAATGTTAGGTATAGTTGATACGATCAAAATTGGCATAGTCCGCAATAAAACTGACTCATTTACTTTCTTCTTTCAACTTACTAACTAGACTAGAGCGGTTGCTGGCAGAACGCCTACTTTTACTCACGACAGACGTTGTATGGAATATCGTAAATAGAAAAGGGATGCCAGGTAGGAATTGCAGCGGTCACTAATAAAGAAAAAGGAATAACACCAATTTATGTGTAAAAGAAAATTTGAACATGTTGCCAGCTGACTTTAAAGAAAGTTCAACATTCTCAGAAATTTAGTAAAGCAAAGACACTTGTTTAAAGATATAATTCCAACCAAGCAGTTATAAAGCCGACCTCGACTTCTTGCGAACTTAAGCAAGTTCTAACTGCTGTACCGTATACTATTATTCGGTTATCTCTTTTTAATTTGTTTGTACTACTCATGAAGCATTTCCTAACTTAAGAAGCGCGTGTTCAAAACTCAGCAAATGACTACAGGCCCAAGTGGAAACAAGAAAGAAGATACGTCCATTCTCTCAAATAATTTAGTGCGGAATTTGCCAATTTTGTTCGTCACAACTATAACTGTTTCTTGGCTGGCGCATTTATACACATTTTATAAACATTTGAACTTTGTACCTCTGGAAGAAAGAAGAACTCTTGCTTATAGTCCTGATTGCCATCGAAGTGAAGTAATACCGAAAGACATTTTGATAGTTTCGGTTTTGTAAATGCCTCACCTGTTTTTATAAATAAAGAAAAATAATTTGTTTTTCACATTGTGCATTAAGGATCTTAATATTTCTTTACCTATTTCACACATGCCTTCAATAAATGCTTCCCTTGTAAGGGGTTCATCAATTTCTTCCTCTTCTTTGAAAGTATTGTAAGCTGACTTCAAGGCATCTACAGAAATTCCATGCACAGGTCTGTGATTTATATACAATTTAACGAATTCCAAAAAGGATGCTTGATCTCGAATTTCACCAGTTTCGTTAAAATCGCGGTACCGTATATCTACTATCATATCTTCTATCTAAAAGACATATTAAAATTATCAAAAATAAAGCACACCATTAGATTCTCTGGGAAATTTAAGGACATTTTTTATTTTACAGTTTTCCGATACGATGTGTAGTTATCTAGTAAACTGCAATTGAAAATTAAAACGGTTAGCCAATTATGTCACACATTGTTTGCTGCAAACAGATGCAGCCCAATAGGAAGAAACAAATGATGTGTGGGGCTACGCCCACTTGCAGCACCGAGAGCGTTTTTGATCAGAAGTACTTATTGTACAATTGTTAATTACTCAATAACTACTCATGCTAGCGAAAAACTTCAAAGGAATAAATGTCTTGAAATTTTGCATAGAATCTCAGGGTGCATCCATAATTGTAATAAAGGGAAGAATAAATAAACTACACAACTATATATGTATTTTAATTGTTTTGATTAACCTCGTATTCTGTAGGGTAAAATCCACAGGCTCTCATTAAATCTGGGATTTCTGATATCGAAATGTAGTCGCTAACTTGTCTCGGTAACAGTGTATTAGCCCCCTGATGAAGAATTTGCATGTAATAGAACAAGTCTTCCATTTCTTTGTATAGCCACCCTTCCTTGCCACCCTCTATCAAGCAGTAAAACGGCTGAAGTTCGTCACCGCCCATTTTTTCCAAATAATCTACACCACTACCACAAAAACAGGTAACGACTCAATTAAATACTTTTTTACCACGAAAACAATAACAAACTGTATTTATTTTGGAAAATGGTAAACAAAAAATCGGTAACATTAACTCACATCGAGTGTATTTCCCATCTCAATATCGTTCTGTCATTTTCGCCTATTGTAAAAAGATATTTTCCATCTGTACTTTGTACAAAAGTTCGTAGCTAAAAAGTGACAGGAAATTTGCAGTTTTATTAGGTAATATACAAGTACTTATATTTTTTACTGTCAAACCTTTTTCGGGTGCCCTGTAATCCCTATATACCTGTAAGGATTCCCATCGTAAGGTAATTTAATGAGACCTATCCTCGTACTGTTCATAAAAATTAGATAATTTTCGTCGCTTTTCAAAATCTACAAACCGAAATGTTTTTTTCATTCAATTAAAATTGTTTTCTGATGATGGTAAAATTAAGTTTGTATCAGTACTTGGTTTTTCTATTTGATCTTACCTCTGTTTTCGTAACAATGGACTCATCGAAACAACCGTAGGTAGGCCCTAAAGACACCGACCTACACATTAATGTTTGATCGTTAATTGTTCTAAATTTGAACTAAAATTGTTACATTAATTAAACACTGTTACTAATTAAAAACAATAGGGATTACAACCTGATCGTCTGTAAGACAGAAGTCCCAGTGTTTGGTAGTGGGCTTTTTTGGCAGATAAGAAATGCTTATTGGTATTGCTGATTGCGATATTCTCTCAGAATGAATCACATTAAGGACTTCGTCTTCACAACTTTATACACAACAATTAAATTAAGTAATAGCAAACAACACTTAAAATTTAAAGTAAATGTACCTGTCTTTCACTTCATATTCCACAAGGACCCTATCTTCCCCGATTGTAAATAATCGAGGTGGTTCATACGCAGAAAAGATAATACTAGTCAGGGGCTTGTAATGGGCCCGAACTTTACCAACGAACGTTAAACTGAAGGCTGAACTATAGTGGAACAGGCAAACAGTTTTATTGCTATCCTTATGAACAAATAATAATAAAATTAGTTAACCCCATGTGTATTATACGGTAAAAACATTATCGCGTACGTAGTAAGCAACGTAGTTTCCGCAGTTTGAAAAACACAATTTTAAAACGTTTCCTTTCGATGGTCTGTAAGGTATTTCGTGCTGGGGGTCTAGCAGAACTGGATCGAGCAACCAGATACTTCCAGTGGAAGTAGCACAAACAAGAATTAAAGCTGAAATGGAGTTATTACTAGATGGTACCCAAAAATGGTACCAGAACAACTGAACATGAAAAATAGTAGGTACTATTATTTATAATTCTATGCAATGTATGAAAGCCTTGTGGCCTGTAGAAATTTAAAAATAAGTAATTATTACATTGGGGGTGGTACTTCAGTACAGCCACTTCGTTTTTTACTTCCATCCCACTCTCATTTGTTGCAGTTTCATCGGGCACTCGGCTTTCAAGTATGAACTTGTTGTCTTCATAATTTACTAGATGTAGGACCCCTATATCGTAGCCTATCGCGATATAGGGCCTGTAAATGTGTATACATACACGTAAACTTTTATTGCAGAGTATAGGGCCAATTACCTTTCAGTATGGACATCGATAGCGGTGACAATTGACACAACTTTCGTGACAACAGGTCGAATAGAATTGTTTACGAAGTCTATAGCAAATACATCCGCTCCTGAAGTCACTATATTGATCGTATGCAAGTACATAGTTAATTAACTGTTACGTAAATAACGAACAAAATAATTCGAAGTGGTCTGTATTCTGTCGAAACTGCCACACGCGGATCGCGATTTCGATCTTTTTTTTGGATCTCATCAGCGCGTCGCAGGCAGCTCCGACAGAACACAGACCAGCCTTTACCTGCTGTCTTAACAGCGCGTTTTAGAAAATACCACAAATGGCGCGGTGAGCGCCATCTGTAGTACGATGCTACATTTTAGGATTACGTTACGTAAATAATTTATTTGGATTAAAAAGATATTACCTACGAAAAAATTTCTAACGATGAAAGGTAACTTTTGTAGCGTGGCATCCGAAGGTACCAACTGGGCGTATAACGTTTCGTATTCTTCGGAGCGATCTTCATAATCTGGGGTATTTCTGAAGGAGTCGTCTAGAAATTTGTTCTAACGACTTATATGTATATTTAATTAGGGGGGCAATGAAATTAATTGGATAAGGGAGGAGAGTTTATGTGTTATGTAAGCAATTAAATTTTGCTTTCTTTTTTTTTGTTGTTAAAAGCAACGGGAAGGGGGATGTTGCGCATTCATAATCATAATGCCTTAGACTTGAAGACAGTTGGAATTTGTACTTTCGCCATGAATTAAAAAGAGTAAAAAGCATTACCTTCGTCAAATTCTAACGGCTGTTTTAATTTGATTTTTCTGGGCTCAGGGGTGAAACTGAAAGACTTGATGGTTTCCACGGTAAAATTCTGTGCCCACTGCAATAGTTTTAACCGTTTGTCATAAAATTTTATATAACCGTTACCATCACCCGTGACTACCATTCTAAAGCAATTATTTGTACATTCTTATACAAAACAAATACAAATAGACAGGGACGTACTCATCAACCGTGTCGATTGTTGTAATGGGGTACTTGGATACTTTGATTGTTTTCACGTAAATTTTGTTATTTGTCAATTCTCTCTCTTCGAGGGGCAGGACGAAAAATGTTTTACCATAAACGTTTATTGTCCCATTGTCCAGGGAAGCAAAACATTCGTGACAATTGTAGACGTAAGTGCAACCAGTTATCATACCCCGAGTTCTTTTGGTCCTTAATTCTGGGGTAGCGACTTCCCGAAGCTCTGACTCTTCAGGATCCTTCAGGATATAAATAAATTTACATTGATGCTTCAATATCTGATGTTAGAGCTACTTTCTTAAATTAATCATAAAGTGTGTGACATTTACGTCAACATATTCAGACAATATATCCAAAAAAGTTGGAAGACATTAAAAAAATATGCAACAAATAACACTTTAGATAACAAAATTGGAAATAAAGATGGAAGCGATTAAAAGTCAAGTTATAAGTCTAAAGACACTAATAAAGTTTATGTTGGACAGACTGAAAGATCCTTTGACGATGGGATAAAAGAACACTTTGCTTTGATTGTTCAACTATTTTCTTTTTCGCTTGTAAATTGTTATAAAAAGAAAAATAGATAACATAGAAAAATCCAATTTAGTAAAGACACATTTGTAGGATAATTAACTGGATATTTAATTTTTGAAAGTATTGTATTTGAAGAAGTGGCCATTATAATATTTGCCAACTTCAAGATAAAATACAAAAGAATTATTTAAAGATATTCTTATCACACAAAGAAGATTAAATTAAACAAGTATCTTCAATATTAATCGAATAATATTTACAAACCCATTCTAAAAACACAGCCTGTCTTTCAAACGAGACCATTAAATGTTCTTGGATGTTAGGATTGAAACAAACTTTGACAGGCCTTCCGTAGTACTTTGGAACCAACCAGGAACCTTTTTCGTGAACAGACCAAAATAAAATTAAATTTTGCCACAAATAATATGTCTGTTATAACGTTTTACCATCGGCTTCCTCTCTTCCGTAGGTCCATTGCCAAAATTTTACTACCGGCATTGGTTCGTTTCCAACCGTGGCAATGTACTTGGCATTTGGACTCATGGCTATTTTGGCCATTCCGTATTGTTTATGTGGGGTGAAAATGCTGTAGAACAACTTTCTAGAATAATCCAAATAGGATGATCTCCCAGAAAAGTGTAGATTGTTTTAAATTTTTTGATATTTATAATGGACAATTAAAAATAACTATGGATATTACGTATTTGCAACAAATAGAAGCATTTTTTTTTTTAATTTGTTGCAGCAACCGTTAATTAAGAAATTCGAAAAAGGTTGTTAAAGGTGTATGTTTGGAGCACGGCATTGTACGGGTGCGAAACATGGACAGTGGGAGCGGCGGAAAAGAAAAGGTTAGAAGCGTTCGAAATGTGGTGTTATAGGCGGATGATGAGGATATCGTGGGTAGAAAAGGTTAGAAATGAAGAGGTATTGGAAAGAATAGGAGAACAGAGGACTCTATGGAAGTCAATAAAAAATAGGCGAGATAGGTTGGTAGGACACCTTCTCAGGCATGAAGGTCTAGTCAGAGACATATTAGAGGCAGAAACAGGAGTTAGGAGGGGTAGAGGTAGACCTAGATTAGATTACTGTTCGCAAATAGTTAAGGATGTGGGCTGTTCTAGTTTTAGGGAAATGCGAAGTTTAGCTGAGGATAGGAAAGAGTGGAGGTACGTGTCCAACCAGTCTTAGGACTGACGACCTTATGATGATGATGATGATGATGATGCAGCAAATATTGAAGGAAGTTGTTTTAAATTGTTACCCTTCGGTACCGTCCCAAAAATGAAGAGCGTTTTCGTCACCTGCATCAGCAGTCACCAAGTACATTCCATGGACATCAGTTGCAATGCTGGTGATTTCGTGTTTCTACATTTGTTCGAGAAAAAGCACAATGACTTAAGCATCAGTAGATGAAAGCAGGGCGCTCATATCACTTACATGACCCTGTAAGGGCTTTTGGGAGTGGTCGGTTACAATTCTGATAATTCCAGCGTGAGCTGCAGCATAGAATATCTTCAAGTAGTTTTTGGTTGACAGATTTATTAACGGGACTTCAATATTTATTCCATAGGCGAAAGCCAAAAACTTGAAACCAAAAGGTCAATAGCAATGGAAATCTAAATATCGAAATTAAGAAGCGAAGAAATCGAAGACCAAGAAATAACCCAGGAAAATTACTTCTTTTGTGCAATATAATCTTCATCTTTCAATTTCTTTGCCTTGCTCTATTTCTCAAACGTTGCAACTTACAAATGGCGTTAATCTATTGACGTGGGAGGATTCACTAGATTCTGATGATTCAATTTCACATTCTTCAATGAAACTTTGTTCTCCTTCTTCGCCATCTAATGAGTATCCTGTGTTTTGTATGTCCGAAAGATATTGAATTTCTTCACGAAGAAAATCCATATTTTCTGATTATCCTTTCTCACACCATTCCTCTAAAATATATAAAATAAATAAATGTTTTAATAGGTAGGTACTAAATATGTATAACTATAACAGTAGTGACAAGTAAAATTGATGTATATTTTTGACAAATGAGCTGACTTTAGTGTCTTTTTCTTCATCTGCAGAATTGCATCCTAATTTTTTTCCATTATTCCGTAGTCTTACTCATATTTCTATAAAAAACCTACCATTTGGTTGTTCCACCTTCTTCACATTGTCTTAGTCATGCAATTCTTAATTTTACCCAATTTTTTTTATATCTTCCAAAACTTCATCATCTTCATAAGGTCGTCAGTCCTAACACTGGTTGGACACGCACCTCCACTCTTTCCTATCCTTAGCTAATCTTCGCATTTCCCTAAAACTAGAAAAATCCACATCCTTAACTGTTTGCCAACAGTAATCTAATCTAAGCCTACCTCTATCCTTCCTAACTCTTGTTTCTGCCTCTAATATGTCTCTGACTGGACCTTCATGCCTGAGAAGGTGTTCTACTAATCTATCTCGCCTATTTTTTATTGACTTCCATAGAGTCCTCTGTTCTCCTATTATTTTTAATACCTCTTCATTTCTAACCTTCTAACCTTCTCTATCCACGGTATCCTCATCATTCGCCTGCAACACAACATTTCTTTTCCGCAGCGCCCACCGTCCATGTTTCGCACCCGTACAGCACCACTCCAAACATACACCTTTAACAATCTTTTTCGAATTTCAAAATTAACCGTTCGCAATCATAAAAGTGACTTCTTTTTATTGAAAGCTCCTCCTTGCTAAATGCTAATACTGCCATACTTCCAAAACTTACAGAAACAAAAAACTCGAATTCGTTTTCTTAAATACAAAAATACAATTAAAATTTACTCAGGTCTGTGTGTCCTTTTTGCATCAAACATAAACTGTATGCATTACTTTCATGTGAAAACTGATTTCTAAATTAATAATCTACTACTCTTGTCCTTATCAGACTTTAAGGCCAAAAAAAATATAAGAAGTTTAAACAATTCTAACTTGTACCTGCTGATAACAAAAAATAGAGTAAACTTAAATCTAGGCGCCAGTTGTTAGATGAATATTAATAGTAACAGAAGATACAACAGGTAAAGATAAAAATTCGTCATCCCATTCATTGAAAGAACATTCATTAATCTCCTTCAGCATTAATGTAATTACAATAAAACGGGTAAATCTGGTAATTCAGAAACCACAATGACTCACGGAAAAGAAGAAAAAATCGTAATAAGTATTAATTAAGTAAAAGGGAAAATAAATAACTGTAAAAATAATAAAATACAGCAGCAGTTATTCCAAGAATTAAACGTTACTAATATCAATAATCGTATCCCGAAGATGTTCCTTCGCCATGAGTTTATTATTGAAAAGACTTAAAGTGCTCTTGTAGATATAAGTAAGAATCAAGTTTTTAATTTCCAAAACGGTTTCGGTCACCTGCCCGTTCACAACAAAGAAACTGAGACTGAATACATTTTCGTCTTTTAATTAATTTGAATAGTGATTACAAAGATTTATTCATATATTCACGAAAAATAGTTCAAGTACTTTGTACTTTGTGTATCACCATTTCGAAAATGTTTCTATTTTTCGGGCTGTTTTTTGTTTGTTGTGCCAGTGCTGGAAGTACAAAGGTGTCTGAAAAAATTCAGGATGGAGCAGCAACGCCCAGAGTTGTAAGTTTACTGTTAATAACTTTTTTGATGTCACAACAATAATTTTTTATTTTATTTGATATCTAATAACGATATGTAGTCAAATACGACGCGCAAAATATTTTTCTAAAGTATTTGTATTTATTATTATAGTTTGAATTTATGAAAAAGTTTGGATATTTGGAGTCAGGGACTGATTCAGAGGCAATTTATACTAAGGAAGCCTTTTCTGAGATCGTCAAAATGGTTCAAAGGTTTGGCGCTTTACCCCAAACAGGCCTTATTGATAACAAGACGTTAGAAGCAAGTACAATTCTGTTAACACTTAATTTTATATTAATTACCATCATTATATATATTTGCTCTCGATTTCAACTGTGCCGCCCCTGTAATAAGTTTTATTCAGAATTTATATAACCAAATATACACCCTACTGTAGACGTTTAGACCCGTCCAGTTTTTTCCAGTCTTTTTTTATGTGTTTATGATTTTTAATTAAAGATTAACTCCAAAGTGTCGTATAGGTTACGATCTCAAATAACTGTTACCATTTTTAAGCATGTAGGATACGTTTTTATTTTCAAATGTTGAATATTTCAAACATTTTCATAGCTTATGGAGTCTCCTAGATGTGGGGTTCCTGATGTCTTTAAGCCCACTTCTGGTAGGGCCAAAAGATACGTTATCACAAGTCAAAAATGGAAAAAAAGACACCTTACGTTTTTGTAAGTTCTCCCACTAGATATTTAACCTAAAAAGTTTAATTTAGCACTCCTAAATGCATCCCTGTTAATTTACTCTTCACGAGGAATTTTAACAATAGTAAAAAGTTCTGATACTTTTTGTTCAAGTGTTTCTAATGCTCCATCGTATTTGTCCAAAGAAGAAGTTGTTAGAGTTATACAATTAGGGTTGGATACTTGGGGCAGATACGGCGGTCTTACATTTTCAAGGGTGGACGATCCTGATGCAGATATAATTGTGCTTTTTGCTAGAGGACCCCATGGCGACAGGTAAAAACATTTACAAAGAACGAACATTAACTTTGTATTACAGTACGTAGTAAACCTGATCAATTTTTTAAGAAGTACGAACAAAATTATAGTGTATATACATCCCAGTGTTTAATTGAATCATCGGTGTCAATGTACTGTGAACCTTAAGATTCCAATTCGTCATGATCTGCAAGTGAGTTCGTTTATTTATACATTAAATATGTACAAACAACTCAGTAACCGTTGTGAGAAATTGTCTGGTACTTTTTAAAAAATGATTCACACTGTTTGTTTGATGTTCGGATGTTTCTGTAAATCCGTAATCTCAGGAAGTTGTAGATTATAGTAAAGACAATATTAAACGAGAATAGTTTGAAGTCATACTAATAATTTATTCCATGTTTGTTTATTTCGTAATACTCAAACTCATAAAGGTACCAAAAAATGGCACCACATTGTGGATCTCCAAGTGCGTGTTTTTTAAAATTGTTCTTAGTAGATACAAGAGAAATCTTCAAAATTCATTTGTTTCTTCGTCTAAATCTAACAGGAACCAAAAAATTGTTCTAAAGCCGCCCCTGCAACTGGTTTTATTCTGATATTTTCAAACTAAAAAATGGTGAAATAATTAATATGAATTGTTTGAATTCTTGTTATTGGAGATTATTATTGTTTTATGTGATTTAACTTTATTAGAAATTACTGTTTTACTTTAATAGTTTTAACTTTGACGGTCCCGGTAACATATTGGCACACGCTTACTACCCCAACAGCGGCCTGGGCGGTGATGTACACTTTGACGATGACGAAACGTGGACTACAAATGACGATCAAAAATGGGAAAGTACGAATAAACTAACATTCATAAAAAATAACTAAATTAATGTAATTTCCACATGCGTCGTTGTTTTTTCTTTTAAGGGACCGATCTATTTTCCGTTGCGGTTCATGAACTGGGCCATTCTTTGGGACTGGGACATAGCGACGTTAAAAACTCAATTATGTTCCCTTATTATAAAGAACCAGTCCAAAATTTTAGACTAGACTACGATGATATTTTAGCTATGTATGAATTATACCGTAAGTACTCATATTTGTTGTGTTATCAGGTTACCATTGTTTGGTACCCATTGCTAAGCCATCGTTATATGGTACCTATTTGCAGATTATTTTTATTTGGTCTTTATCCACTTGTGGGGTACCTTTACCTACTTGGTACCCATTTCTAGATTACTATTATTTGTTACCGATTTGTAGATTACCTTTATTTGGTACCCATCAAGCACTTTCCTTCCATAAGTTGTATATTGTAATATTTAATTGATTGTTATTGCATTGGTAACCATTTCACTGCTACACACAGATAGAAGAAGAGATGAATCATCTCGAGGTGATGACAGAGCCTCTAGATATCCAGAAAGGACTACTAGACCTTATTATGAGCCAACCGGAAGGCCCAATAGACCTAAAAGACCAGACTATACGAAAAAGCCATCTAAACCCAAATATACCACTACAAAAACGCCTGTAATACCAGACATTTGTGAAGGACGTTTTGACGCTGTGTCCATGATCAGGGGAGAGCTGTTCGTCTTCAAGGGTGAAGTAAAGAATCTCTTTTTAATAAACAGGGGCGTCATTGCCATTTTTACAATTCTAAAATGGCAGAAATGGTCCTTGCCAAAAGATAAAGAAAATATGTAAGTGATTAATAATTTTTTCCTTTTTTGCCGTATTTAGTATTTATGGAGACTAAGAGAAAAACAACAAATACTTCCTGGGTTTCCATCACCATTTAGAAACATGTTCCCGGAATTGCCAGAAGATGTTAAAAGGATTGATGCGACCTATGAAAGACCTGATGGTATCATTATTCTTTTTACAGGTAATGTTTTATATTCATTGCCTTTCACAAAATTAATTTTCGTTTTTCGTAAATTTAGGAAACAGATATTGGAAATTTGATGGTAGAAGGTTCGTGGACAGCCCAAGACCCATTACTGACTATGGTTTTCCATATTACCTTGACAAAATCGACGCTGCACAAAACTGGAAGGTCAACGGTAAAAATGTCCCCGAATTCATTCGTATTATTATTTTTACCCTGTTTGATTTGTTTTTAAGGAAAAACCTATTTTTACAAAAAGGACCGATTCTGGAGGTACAACGAGACTTCGAGGACAATGGACAACGGGTACCCCAAAAACATGAACCGATGGAGAGGAGTTCCCCACGACTTAGACGCCGCCCTCACGTGGAAAGACGGTAAGTAAGAATTTTTATTCTTCTCTGAGTAAGTGTTTAATTTACTTTTTATTATTTAGGGAGGACATATTTTTTTAAAGGCAAATTATACTGGGCGTTTGATAACAAATGGATAATAACCACTGAGGAGTCACCCTTACCGGCACCAGAAAGTTGGATTGGATGTCCTGAAGATCAAGAAGTTTTGAACTATTTATCAGAAAAGTTAGATCAGTTTCAATATTGAAATATTTGTTATTTTTAAGCNACTCGGCTTTCAAGTATGAACTTGTTGTCTTCATAATTTACTAGATGCAGGACCCCTATATCGTAGCCTATCGCGATATAGGGCCTGTAAATGTGTATACATACACGTAAACTTTTATTGCAGAGTATAGAGCCAATTACCTTTCAGTATGGACATCGATAGCGGTGACAATTGACACAACTTTCGTGACAACAGGTCGAATAGAATTGTTTACGAAGTCTATAGCAAATACATCCGCTCCTGAAGTCACTATATTGATCGTATGCAAGTACATAGTTAATTAACTGTTACGTAAATAACAAATAAAATAATTCGAAGTGGTCTGTACGTAATCCTAAAATGTAGCATCGTGCTACAGATGGCGTTTACTGCGCCATTTGTAGTATTTCCTAAAATATTATTACTATAGCCTTTAATTTTGTTTTTTTTTTTTCGTTTTCTTAACGACATACGACTATCACATTTCTAGGCACAAATAAACACACATAAACTAATGACAACTTAAAGTTTATTTATTAAGGACAATTATTACAAAAAAAAAGAAACATCTTTGTTCATTTGAACTTGGAGCTAAATTTCTTAACACTTATGCATCATGAAAAAGATCACGTACTTAATTAATTCTTTATTTCTTTTACCATGGTAATTGCTTACCATCGTATTGGTAAAACCCTCCGTTGTGTTCACTATTGACAGACAGAATAAGGTCAACAATACCTTTAACGCTTGGTTCAATATCTAAGCGTGCATTGGGTCCACCCATGTCTGTTTTCACCCATCCCGGATGAAGGCAAATGGCCATTATGTTATCTTCCTTTAATTCGATTGATAAAGTTTTTGTAGCCATGTTAAGAGCAGCCTAAAAATAGTATAAAAAAACGATAAACCTACCCTAATGTAACCCAACCCAATTACGTAAATTATTCGGTGTGAGGTTGATAATTACCTTGGAACATTTGTAAGGGTACAGGCCTTCCGAACTGTTTTCTGAAATTGATGCTAATATGGAAGACATATTTATAATGGCTGCCCTTTCACTGCCGATGGGTTTGTCACTGTTTTTTTGAGCTGCAGTTTTCAATAATGGTACTAGAGTCTAAAAAAAAAATACTTTTTTCTATAACTATCGACAAAATAAAATTTTGATGGGTAAGTATATGACTTAAAAAGTCTATTTTTAAACGAAACACCTGATCAGGCTCAACTTTAAAGTTGTAATAAGTACTGTTAGTATATTGTACCAAAAAGATGAAACTGACGAAATGAATACAGAAGATACTTCTTCTGCCTCCTTATAGGACTCGTGGAAACGGCATGGTGGTGTTTGAGGTGAGAAAAATGGAGACGAACTTAATAAAAACAGATAAGAATTCATCAGCCTCCTTTTAGGACTCGTGGAAATAGTTGGGTGGTGGTTAATGTGAGAAAAATAAGACGAACTTAATGAAAACCGATGAGAATTCTTCAACCTCTTATTAGGATTCGTAAGGACGGTTGGGTGGTGATTGAAGTGAGAAAGATGAAATAAACATAGTGAAGACAGATAAAAATTCTTCAGCCCCTTTTAAGGGCTCGTGAAAGAAAGATGAGGCAAACTTAATGAAGACAAATGCGAATTCTTTAGCCCCCTTTCAGGATTTATGGGAACAGCTGAGTGGTGATTGCGGTGAGAAACATGAGACAAACTTAATGAAGACAGTTGAAAATCCTTCAGCCTCATTTTAGGGCTCGTGAGAACGATTGGGTGGTGGTTGAGCAGAGAAAGATGAGACAACTTAATGAAAGCCGATAAGAATTCTTCAATCTCATATTAGGATTCGTAGGGACGGTTCGGTGGTGTTTGAGACTAGAAAGATGAGACAAACTTAATGAAGACAGATGAAAATCCTTCAGCCTCTTTTTAGGGCTCGTGGGATCGATTGGGTGGTGGTTGAGGTAAGAAAGATGAGACAACTTAATGAAAGCCGATAAGAATTCTTCAACCTCATATTAGAATTCGTAGGGACGGTTCGGTGGTGTTTGAAACTAGAAAGATGATACAAACTTAATGAACACAGATGAAAATCCTTCAGCCACTTTTTAGGGCTCGTGGAAACGACTGGGTGGTGATTGAGGTGAGAAAGACAAACTTGTTGAAGACAGATAAGAATTCTTTAGACTCTTTTTAGGATTCGTTGGGAACGGGTTGACGGTGGTTGGGGTAGGAAAGATGAGACGGATAATTTGAAATGAGAAGAGAATTTTTCAGCTTCCTTTTAGGACTCGTGGGAACGGGTAGGTGGTGGTTAGGGGTGTTTTTTATTAGAAGTAATAATTATTAAAACTGCAGACCTTTGTTAACATTATTGGTGCCACAGTGTTCGTCACAAAGGCGTTCACAAGGTGCGACGAATTGAGCAACTCTAATTTAGTCACCCTGGGGTAAGTGCCAGCATTATTGAATAGAACATTTAAGCCATCATCTTGCAAAATATTTTCAAGTTTACGCTTAAAATCGTCATAGGAGTTGAAATCTGTAACATCTGAATTCAAATTCGATTATTAGATATTTCTAATGGTTGTAATTACACATTTTGAGAATCACAAATTCGTAATATTTTTTATTTATTTTTTTATGGGATAGTTACTAGTAATTAGTAATAAATATCTCTTTAGCAACTCATAATAGTAAAATGTGTAAGGATTTTTAGTCAAATTATGGAAGATGTCTTTAAAAATATTACTAATTGTGACCGATTTTTTTAATGAGACTTCAACAAATTTTTTTATTAAAATAACAGAAATTATTATATCATAAAATACTGTGTGAAACTTTTGTATTTAATAAGTTAGACAGATAAATATATAAAACTTTAGACTTAGCCTTGTCAAGATCTAACACTTGCTACAATTTTATGTAAAGTATATACAGTTACGAAATATAAATATAAAACTTCAAAACCATGATGTAAAACTATTAAATTTTATTATCACAGACGATTTATAAAGGGTATCGCAAAGAGGTCATACAATAATTTTATAAAAATTGGAAATAAATGTAAGCAAAAGAGTAAAAGTAGTGTACTTATGTTGATATAATTGAACACAAACGAAAACTTACACTATTTAGACACCCTGTATATGTAATTTTAGTTCTGTACTCACCTAATAGTAAAATATGAACGTTTTTATGCTTATTGGCTATTTCACGCAACTCCTAAAAGTAAAAAAAAATTATAAAACTTTTTTAAATTTACAATACCCCTTAAAACTATGAACAAATTTCTTTTTAATTTAATTATGACAATGTTTTACGTAAATGTGTATGATAAACCTCATGATAACTATCTGACATCCTGTACAATATTGCGTCATTATTAATTAATTAGTAATGAATTGCATGAAATATTATCATTTAATTAAGTAAGTGATAACGTAGTACACACGTCAGACGGTCTGTTTCGTTTCTTACCTTGGCGTTTTCTAAATTTCTGCATGTCGCTATTATCTTGTCAGGTGGATTTGGAATGCTCAACAATTGTTTCACTAACCCGAGTCCCAGTCCCCGATTGGAGCCGGTAATTAAAATTGATTTAATCATTATTCCAATGAGGATGACTTTTCAAAATGAGCAACGAACCAATTGTGAATGATAACGGAATAATATAAAATATAAATAATATAAAGTTTTAGAGACTTATTTGTTTACGCGATTTTCTTATCTATCGTTACTGGAAGCATGCGTAGTTGTAAAAACTTTAATTAATGCGACGGACTCGGTTATTTATGGACTAATTTAAATAACATATGCTAACGGTTTGATTTTGTCGAATGAGAAAAGCAAGGTCAGCGTCTATAGTGTCAATACTTGGATATTACATTACAT